CTTGTCCATTAGCAGTCCCCCCACTGGTGCTGGGGCAGTGCCCACTGCCCTAAGCCCCTTCTGCTGGCTGTCCTCTTGTCCATTAGCAGTCCCCCACTGGTGCTGGGGCAGTGCCCACCAGGCCACACCCATGTACATGGCTCTAGGTCTGGTCTCTGTCAGCTCCACCCTTCGTTTCCAGGTCACAGCAGGACAACATTTCGATGCCCACCCAGCTTATCCCACCATCCAGCTTCCTGGAGCCACCCAGTCCAAAGTAGCCAGGCCGGGCCTCTGGGCAGCCTCTGCCCAGTGCATCTGGGAGTTATTACCTGGATTGGAGGAGGTTAAAACAGGCTTTAGTCTTCGTCACTTCAGAACACCATCAGACTCCCCTCTGCTGTTCTGTTAATGCCTGTTGAAAGCCTCACGTTACTGGGACTACTGATTTAAATTCTGTGAAAAACTGCATCTCTCTTTTTATGTCCAGGTGGAAGAAGTGTTTAAGGCCTCACCTTTCCTCGTGAGGGAGGACTGTGTCTCCATCATGAACGGAACGGACGAAGGTAGAGTTGTCCAGAGCACCTTGGTCTGACAAAGGATGCCCCTGAGACTGACCGTGAAGTGCTTCTGCCAAGAGCTCAGTCGAGAGGCTCCTCCCTGGTCAGAGGAGCCAAAGCCTCTGTCCCATTGCGACTCACAGCTTAAATGTCCCAGAGGGTCTTTTTGGTGCCAGTGTTAGAAACAAGTGCTCTTCTTGACCAACTCTGAACCTGGCACAGGTGAAGTTTCTGAAAATAAACCACCTTTTCAGTTTTAAGAACATTTAGAATCCCCAGTTGCTGCAGATTTAGAATGTTCTTGCTGTTGTAATTCTAAGAGAGATACTTAAATGGTTCCTCACGGCCCCCCTGCTTTTAAATATGACCCTAAGAGTTTACTTGTATGGGGGCAGGGGGAGCATTTGGATCTTTTCCTGCCTCTTCCAGAAAGAGGAAGCCGGTGACAGAGAACAGGGGGAGGATGTGGCATTGAGCAGGTAGTCTAGTTGTTTAGTACAGTGTCTTCTCGCCACGGGGTTTTGTCTGTGAATGAAATGCCTCTAAGTGAGGGAGTGGTCACCTGCTTCTGTGTGCCTGTAGTCTGAAAGTAGGCACCTGAGGGCCTTAGGTGTGACTTGCAGCACTTCCGTGATTCAGCACCTGTGTATTATCTCTCTCTCTCTCTCTGTCATAGGTGTCTCCGCCTGGATCACTGTCAACTTCCTGACAGGTACGTGTGCCCACCTCACCATTCTCAGGTGTCTGCACCTGTGGCTCAGGGCAGGGCTTTCTAGAGAACAGAGGCCTCGCTCCTACCTGTTAACTCCTGGGACTCACACTGCAGCAGGTGCTTAGGAGAGGGGGTGCTGTGGGTCGGGACAGCCACCCGGCACACCTGTGCCTCCTCCTGCAGCAGACCTGTTGGTGGCCTGGGCTGTAAGAGGAGTAACAGTAAAACAAGTCATGCTTTCAAATAACTGGACTCCTCTGCTGTGGGGATAGCAGAACAGACACCTTGAAACAGGCAGTGGGAGCACTCATTCCCAGGCCATCCTCGCTTCCTATGGGTTTCTGTCCCCTTACTATCCTTCATAAAAGAGCAGTGTGTCTGAGGCATGTATGAGAAGAAAGAAGCTCCCTGGCAGAAGTCTGCCACATGAGAAGATGAGAAGCTCCGTGGCAGAAACCTCCCACGTGAGAAGATGAGAAGCTCCGTGGCAGAAACCTCCCACGTGAGAAGATGAGAAGCTCCGTGGCAGAGACCTCCCACGTGAGAAGATGAGAAGCTCCGTGGCAGAGACCTCCCACGTGAGAAGATGAGAAGCTCCGTGGCAGAGGAGGGAGAGCTGCCCGCTGCCCGCCAGGTGCCGTAGAAGTGCCAGAGGCCAGTGCCTTTGGGAGCACACCAGTGATCTTCTTCCCAGTAGGGACTTCAGGTCCAGTGCCTCTCCTGAGGGCCAGTATTGTCCCACGTCACTCAGACCGCAACCACCGGAGGCGCTGTCATGTATCCCTTAACCTACAGTGCGTGTGTAAGGCGACGCAGGCTCCCGCTTCCGTCTTGTTTCACTTCCCACTGAGGGCTGGGCCCTCACCTCTCTCTGTGTAACTTGTCTGCTGTCCGTATCTACTCATTAACACAGCTGTGCTGGGTTGGTTTTTGGTTGCGCATACTCCAGGCAGTTTGAAAGCCCCCGGAAGAAGCAGTGTGGGCATGCTGGACTTGGGCGGAGGATCCACACAGATCACCTTCCTGCCGAGCCTCCAGGTAACCAGCCCACACGGCCCCAGGCAGGAGGCAGGACAGGCATCCTTGAGTCACGGGGGCTGGGCGGCCGCTCCTGTTGGGATGGCAGGAGCTGGGGTGCCAGGTCAAGGCACTATGCCTCTCTTAGCCCACAGCCAAGTATATTCCCAGTTCCTGCTTTTTTATTTTGGTTCTAACTCTGCCTGGAAAAAAGCATAGAAATCATGATGGGGAAGTGTGCACTCACGCCCATTTCACAGATGGAGGATAAATTAGCTAAAACTGGAACCTTTGGGCCAAGCGGAAAGCAAGGTGCCCTTCCCTGCAGTGCTCCGCTGCAGGGCGAGGAGAGCTGGTTCCATCCACCTGCTGCAGAAAGCCCTGCACCTCCTCACCATAGAGGGTCCAGGGGAGCACCTCCTCACCATAGAGGCTCCAGGGGAGCACCTCCTCCCCATAGAGGCTCCGGGGAGCACCTCCTCCCCATAGAGGCTCCAGGGGAGCACCTCCTCACCATAGAGGCTCTAGAGGAGAAGCTTCCGGTTAAGACCACTTGCTGCTTTCAAAGGGCTCCTCCTTCCCCTGTTTTATTGCTGGTTTTCAATAGAAGATCCGTTGCAGTTCCTGATGCAAGGCGTGTTTGTGAGGATGGGAAAGTTACACAGAAGGCAGAAAAACATGCTTTTTCATTTTGGGTGTTATCTTAGTCATCTAGTGCTGCTATAACAGAAATACCACAAGTGGATGGCTTTACAAAGAGAAGTTTATTTCTTCACAATAAAGTAGGCTAAAAGTCCAAATTCAGGGCATCAGCTCCAGGGGAAGGGTTTCTCTCTCTGTCAGCCTTCTCATCAATCTTCCCCCGGACTAGGAGCTTCTCCGTGCAGGGACCCCGGGTCCAAAGGACGTGCTCCACTCCTGGCACTGCTTTCTTGGTGGTATGAGGTCCCCCTGTCTGCTCACTTCTCTCTTTTATATCTCAAGAGACTGCCTCAGGACACAATCCAGTCTTGTAGATTGAGTCCTGCCTCACTAACACAACTGCCACCCATCCTCCCTCACTAACATCATAGAGGCAGGATTTACAACATATAGGAAAATCACAAAATACCAGGAATCATGGCCCAGCCAAATTGACATACACATTTTGGGGAGGACATAATACAATCCATGACAGATGCTTAGTTTTTACTCCTTGTTCCAAGCTCGTTTACAGCATGTGACTTTGTGAAAAGCTAACCTAGTTGAATGTGTCTGTGAATGACATTTTCTTTCAAGTGAATTGAGGGAGTGGGGGCTATTTTGTAGAGAGACCAGCAGGCAGCACAGTGACCCTTCTGTGTTCCCCAGGGCACCCTTCAGACCTCCCCGGCCAGCTACATCACATTACTGCAGATGTTCAACAGGACCTACCAGCTCTACTCCTACAGGTCTGTTTTTGGGAGTGAGGAATAGGGACAGTCCAACACTATACTCAGCAGACATTGCTGGAACCCATCATGCCTCAGTGGAGAGAGTGGGACTGAGGCCTCAGTCACAGACCTGCACCCAGGACTCTCTCTGCCATAGGTCCCGCCAAGCCTTGGAGCATATCTTCTCTTCTTCCTCCCCCTCTTCCTCCTTCCTCCTCCTTCCCTCTTCCTTCCTCTCCTCCCTTCTCCTGCCTTCTCCCTCCTGACTGCCTACTCCTCTCCCCTCGTACCTCTCCTCCTGTTTTCTCTTCTTCCTCCCTCCTCCTCCCCCGTCACCCTTCTCCTTCCTCCTCCACCTTCATCCTTCTTCATCTTTATATTTACCTACAGTAACACTAATTTCTTCTTTTATGCTTATTCTGTTCTGCTTTGGAGGAGAAGGAGGGGCCCATGCACTAGGCAGAGAAGTTTCTGGATCATCTGTTTGCCACACAGCACCTTACATAAATTCCTTTCATAAAGGTACAAGCCCCATGAGGAAGGGGCCGTGTGTGTCATAACTCACCACGATGTCCCAGCTCCTAGCTGAGCTGCTTCCCCATAATAGGCCCCCATCTGGTGAGTTAATTAGTTGAATTCCCTCAGCTCTATCGAGAGGCTTCTAGAAGGAGCAGGAAAGCCTGCTAACTGCCTTGCGGCAGGCACCCTCCCTTCCCCACTGAATTTGGACCAGGCCAGGTGGCTTCTGGAGACAGAGAGCAGGACAGCCCAGAGTGCCCGTGCACATCCTTCTCTCACGCTGCTTCATTCCCACAGCTACCTGGGGCTTGGACTGATGTCGGCCCGGCTCGCACTCTTGGGCGGTGTAGAAGGCCAGCCTGGTAAGTGGGACACATGTGGAGGCCACACTCATGACCTCAGCCTCCACTGTCAGCAGGAGGGTGAGCCTTGTCCTGGGGGAAGGCTGTCCCACCTCCCCTACCCCTTCCGCCACACCTGCAGCCTGCTGGGCACAGCCAGGCTGTGGGACAGGCTGCTGACCCTAAGGGCCAGGTCAGGGACCGTGGACCCAACAGGGACACTTCCTCTACCTTTTCTCAATTGGATGTGTTTGCCTTGCACACATTCTGTTGCTTTTTAGAAAGAAAGCTGTTTGTGGAGTCATTTCTGAAGCACTGTGCTGGAAGATTCTAAGAGCCCAAGTAACAGTGTGCAGTAGCCACCTCCACTTGGCATTGACTTGTGTGTGAGGGTTTGAAGAGTTGACCTTGTTCTTCAGGACATGTAGGGACCCTGAGGGAACTTTCCATCACCTCTTGCTATAGGAAGGCGCGCACAGAGCCACCCTGCCCTTCCTGTGACTGGGGTGGAGCAGTGTCTGGTCAAGTTGCTACAAAGCGTGACTTTGCCCCAGGATTCCTTTTGGCCCTTCTGGCTGGACCTCACTGAGGAGAAGCTTGCTCTTGGGTTAAGCCCACAGCTGGCCTTCGTGAGGGTGTTACTCATAGAACCTCCCTGTCCCCACGGAGACAGCACTTAGAGGCTGGCACCAGGCTTTCCTAACTGCCTTGGTGGCATCTCTTCTCCCCGAGTGTCACGTGTGGGGCGCACCACTCAGACCGACGCTCACTCTCGGGCCCCAGATGCCCTGTGCTGTGTTTCCCAGCTGCCTCCACACACCTCCCTCCATGGCCCAGCACCTCTACCTCCTCTCACCAGGGCCTTGTCCTTCCAATAGGCTTGGAATGTCCAGATGGAATTTTGGGTTTTCCATGCACATCCTGTTTCAGTTCACTTCTTTCAAGTCTAGGTGTCCTTTATTGTGAACCAGATACACGTCTAAGTCTCAGAGTCACCTGCGACCCTCACTCTGGGGCCCAAGGACACCTGTCATCTAGCCAGAGTGTTCAGGTCAGCTGGCCCGGAATGCTCCCTTCTACCAGAGCAGCAGGGGGTACACTGTCTTGTCAGGCCAGACCTGACACCGGGTGCAAGGGCTGTGAACCGCTCCCTGCCTGAGAGGACAAGTCTCCCTGTTTGTTCTCTACTGCTGCATAGCAGATCACCCCATACTTCATGGTTTAAACTGCAAACAGCGGTCGCTTTCGGACCTTTGATTCCCGGGTTCTGCTAGACACCTCTGCTGGTGCTGCCTGGGGCCCTGCAGCTGTGCTCAGGCAGCTGGGGCCATCGCTGGATGTCTCAGCACTCCTCCACGGGCGTCTCATCCCCCAGTCAATCGGGGACATAAAAGGATGTGTGCTTTCTGGACTTCTGATGCCTTGGTCCTGACCTCACAGCCCTCTGCACCCCCGGTGGCCACCTCGGGGTTCTGTATGTGCCTGACTGCACACCCCAGTGCTCACGTTGTCACATGCTTTTTGTCCGATCCTTCTATTTCAGCTACAGATGGGAAGGAGCTGGTCAGCCCTTGTCTGCCCCCTGGCTTCAGAGGAGAGTGGGAGCATGCTGAAGTCACTTACAGAATTTCGGGAGAGAAGGCAGGTAGGTGGCTTGCTCACCGGTGTTTATAAAGTGAGAGGGTGGCAGCCTGTCCTCCCCAGGCCCTGACGTGGGAGAAGAAGCCTCTCAGACACAGCTGCCAAGCCTCTCAGACAAGCCGTGTGCCCCACAGGGTAGGTGTGGGCCTGGTCCTCGTTGGGGCTCCGGGTCTTAGCCAGAGTGCTGGGAGCCACTCCACAGGGCCCCCTCACGTGTCCCCGAGCACTTTCTTCACAAACGTTGAGTTTCCTAACAAGTCTCTAATGAGGAAGGACCAAGCGTCCCAGGCTGTGAGACAAACAGGAGCTCACTGAGGAGCCTGACTTTGAATAGAGGGAGACGCCAGCTCCCTCCTTCAGCGCAGATTCTGCCTCCCTTGCACTACCTGGCAGCAGGGCCCTGCCAGGCCTGCCCCTCACCCTGGCCATCTTGGTGCCCTGTGCCCATTTGTCTGCTTCTGAAGGAAATACTGAAGTGTTGTTTCCGAGCTGCATCTAGGGGCATGAGGTGTGTCTACCTGGTCTGTGGTGCTGAGCATCATCAGCTCAGGGGTTCTCGTGTGTGTTTCAGGCTCTGGGCAGACAGCAGTGGATGACGCAGACAGCTCCCACAGGGAGCTGACATTGTAGTGGGAGGGGTTGGACAGGAAAACTGTAGAAATGCTTTGAAGGAAAATGAAACAAGGAAAGAAGAAGGAAGTGCTGAGGGGGAAGTCAGTTGAGGAAGGCCTCATCTGGTTACTTTTGAGCCAAGAGATGACGAGGTGGGGAATGAGCCTCACAGTTGTAGATCAGCCGTGCTGGTGGGGAGGGCACGTGCAAAGGCCCTGAGGCATCTGCTGTGTTTAAGGATCAAGGAGGAGCCAGTGTGACTGGCCTGATAGGGAGCATAGCAGGAAATGAGTCCAAAGGTCAGGTGTGTGGCTCAGCATCACTGGGGAGAGAGGTGGAGGGCAGAGACCAGGCTGGTGCAGAGTGTCAGTGGAAGCAGAGAGAAGTGATGGATGCTAGGTATGCTTTGCTTATGGTTTGGGTGTGAGGTGTGAAGGATGGGCCGCCATAGGGCCATATGGAGAGACTGGGTGCAGCAGGTTTGAGGGGAAGGTCGGAGGGGGTTGAGGTGAGATGAGTGGAGGCGCTGTCAGATGCCCGAGGCAATCCCTTAGCCTCAAGGCCTGCGCTGTTTGTTTCTCCTTCCAAGCCATGCGGTAGTGACCGGCCACAGGAGCTCTGCATGCTGCCGGGTAGGCCTGTTTCCTCATCTGTGTGACAGTGAGAATGCAGACCTCACCTTCGAGGTGGAGCAAAAATCGAGCAGAACACACTCCTTGTACAGCCCAGGCTTGATGGTGTGGGGGCCACGCAGACTCTGGGACTGCACCTCAAGGCCGTTTGGCCAGTTGAGGTCACACGGTGCCTTGGAGGTGGTCCCCGCATGGTCCTGTTGAGGTGTGTGTACCCAGTCCCACTCTGCCCTTCCGGGACCACGCACTCAAGACCACCTGACCCCAGCTTTGTGTTTGTCCTCTGCCAGCAGCCAACCCCCATGAGCTGTGTGCCAGCAGAGTGTCAGAAATCCTTCGAGGCAAAGTGCACAGGACAGAGGAAGTGAAGCACATGGATTTCTACGCCTTCTCCTACTACTATGACCTCGCTGCACAAGTTGGCCTCATCGGTAAGGACAGCGCGTGGTTGAGCTGTGCGGACAGGAAGCACCTGTGGGCACCCTGGGCTCTTTAGGGTCATAGACATCACTTAGCAGCAGGGTCGTGGGAAGGCTGCTTGTTGTCTGAATGGAGCATAATCAGCCTACTTTTTATACACAGATTATCTCTCTAAGGCAGGTTGTGCCCTTGAAGCCCACGCACCCTTGAAGCACATTGCACAGGCTGTGTGATGGTCTAGGATATCCGACAGTTCACGCTGTGGCTGTGCACCTGCTCAGGGAGCTGCTTCGTGACGGCGTGCCTTGCCTGCCCAGTGCTCCCTCTGCCGGGGCCAGAGTGTTCCAAGCTGGCGTGGAGAGGGCTTGTCCACTTGGCAAATCAGCCCCAGGAGCTCACAGGGCGCATTCTGACTCATTGTCCACACCCCGGGAAGTAAATTATGGGGAGGAAAAGATACTCGGTGTGCCTTGGCTAGTGCTTCTCAAAGTATGAGTGAAACTCTTGAGAGGGTTGTGAAGTCAGTTTAGTGGCTGTGACCAGGATTTTTTAGTGAGGTAAATGGGAAATATCAGAATGCGCTGCCTGTGGAACGGTTGTTGTTCCTGGGTGCCGTCAAGTCAGTTCTGACTCACAGCAACCCCATGTGATAGTAGAACTGCCCCATAGGGTTTTCTTGGCTGTAATCTTTACGGAAGCAGATCACCAGGGCTTTCTCCCACAGAGCCTCTGGTGGGTTCCAACTGTCAGCCTTTCAGTAAGCGTTGTTAATGTTTTAAATGAAAAGCCACCCACCCAGAAGGCAGATCCTGGGGCCCGGGGTTTACCTTCTTGGCTCCCATGGATCTGCCTTGCTGCTTGCTGACTGAGGGGCCACTCTGAGAAGGCCTCACCACATCAGCACACCCTAGCTGGGGTGAGGACAAGGTGAATGGTGACTTCTCACCCTCAGCCCAAGCCCCAGGTCCCTCTGGCACAAGCAGGGGCAGACAAGGTGGGTCCCTGGCAGCCTAAGGGACCCTGCTGGTCCCCACCCAGAGACCAGGAGTAACCTTGGGATTGCTGCCCATGGCCTACCACGCCCTTCTCGTGGGGCACCTATGGGTACCTCACCCTCTGCCAGGCTGGCTTGGGGGGCACCGCTAACACCCATAGTCAGTGTGTGCCCTCACCCATCTGCAGGCTGCCCCCCAGGAGGCCTGGCACCTTCCGGGGTCCCAGGAGGTAGCACAGCTCAGAGGTGGCAGCATGACTTGTCCCTTGGTGCTGTGCACACCCAGGAGTTGCCCGTCCGCTGCCGTGCTCCCGTCATACCTGTTTTCATCACCCTCACTGGTCACACCTGCTCGGGGACTAGGTCTGGGTTGGTCAGTCACATCCTCCTAATGCCAACGACTGCTAACTCAGTGAATGCCCACAGCTAAGGAAGAGTCAGGAGATGCTTCTTCCCAACGCAGTGAGCAGCCTCTCATACGGGGGAGTGCAGCCCTGGACCCCCCTTGGCCCAGCGTGGACATCTGGGCTGTGTTGAGGACCCAAGTCACAGTCCCTGAGAGCCAGGTGCTCTCCCCACCCTCCTCCCAGGGGTGGCAGAGGGCTGGCAGCATCTCCCTCCTACAGAGCCCCATAAAGGTATTGCCTGCTTGTCCCCAGGGGCATTTCTGAGACCCAGCAAACACTCCTTTAACAGTTTTTGTTTTTTTTTGTTCAAACTTGGGGAACTGATGCCAGAATACTTTGCTGAGCTCAGTGCCATGGCTTCAGGAAACATTTTCGATTCCATACATTTGCTTTTCTTAAGTTGAAATTAAATGTTTCCTCAATTTTGGTGGCCAAGGGATCTTGGCGAGCTTCCTCTGAGGAGGCATTCCAGGGATGGGGGTGCAGTGACCCTGAAAGGCCCTGGCTGGGCTCCCTGCCTGTCCACCCCATGCCCAGCCACCTCACAGGCCTCGGTCCATGAGCAAGGTGCCTACTGCCTCTTACAGCAGCCAGCTTTCAGCAGGCAGTACGCCTCACAGCTTGACCTCGGCGACACCCCCTGCTGTGTCCCAGGGAAGCGCTCCATATAGCCCTGGAACTCCTGGCCCAGCCTCCCCACCCCACGTCGGTGTCTGGGCAGCCTCTGTATCACAGGGCCTCTGTGGCTCCAAAGCGAATCAGGTGTCTGTTTCTTGTCCCACAGATGCCGAGAGAGGAGGCAGCTTGGTGGTTGGAGACTTTGAGATTGCAGCCAAGTATGGTAAGTGACCGCTGCACCTCTCAGGGCCAGCAGAGCCCTAGTTGGGAAGGGCCAGGGGACAGAGGCAGGCGGGACTGTCCCTGGCACTGGGCAGATGCCCACAGTGCTGGAGATATGCCCCAGCATTAGTACTCTTGGATTTTGTCCTGATGCCATTACCAGACTAGCGCTAAGAGGGTATGAGATGTGCAGCATTCACTCAGGGACTTGTGCCCGCTCAAACTGAGTCTGCTACCTCCTGACAGCATGGCTGCAGCCAGTGCGTTAGCTGCCCGGGGCCCTGGTGGTGGTCGCTATAGAAAGGCCGTAATTCCAGTTCCTTCCTTGTCTCTGTGAGAGACAGGCTCCCTCAATTTCATTCTTTCGGACACCCGAGCCACTGCCACGTGGGTATCCCAGCAAATTCATGACTGTCCCTGAGCCTGAAGCAGCCAGGAGACCTTGCATAGCCGGACCGGCATGTGAGGGTTCAGAGCTGCGTCCTGTGGGGTCCTGGGGCGAGCCAGTGGCTCCGCCTGCCTCTCGTTCACCTTTCCCTCTTTCCCCCACCTCCTTGTCTACATCCCACTCACCCCCACCCCGGGGTGTGAAAGCAAAGCCTCATTTTCAATCATCTGCCTTTCTGCTTGCCAGTTTGCAGATCAATAGACTTAAACTTTGTATATTTCTACATATAAATTTTCCACCCCAGAAAAAGTGGCTTTTTTCCTAACCTTTATGCCACTTCTGGGTTTGTCCCCATGGACACCGCATCAGTGACCCTCCTCCAGGCAGCAGGTGCTGAGAGGAACTCCGGGCAGGTTGGAGTGGAGAATGAGAGAGGGCTCTTCTGAGCCAACCTCGACATCCATCCCTTCACCCTGTGTGATGCTCAGGTCTTATGCAGAGACGACCTGGGAGGAGACTGTGGGATTTGCCCCAACCTTCCTCTCAGGGCACTCTTGGCAGACCACCTCCCTGTCCTGACCCTCCCCGCAGCCCCTGGGAGTGAATCACCCAGACACTGATTGGGACACCCCCATCTTTGTCCCTGTCTTTGCCCCCAGTGTGTCGGACAATGGAGACCCACACACAGACTAACCCTTTTGTGTGCATGGACCTCACCTACGTCAGCTTGCTGCTGCAAGAATTCGGGTTTCCAGGGAACAAAGTGCTGAAGGTGAGGCACCCCCCATCTCGCCCCCGCCCCCATCTCTGCCTAGGCGGGGTGCCTGGGAAGCACTGCCCATGGGGGTGCGGATCCCCTGACCCCGCCCCCATCCCCCACCCCATGCTGGGGGGTGCCTGGGAAGCACTGCCCATGGGGGTGCGGCTCCTCTTACAGCAGTCTGGTCTCCACAACAAGTATGGCTCTTCCTGTTCTCCCTTTGTCTCTTCAAGCTGACTCGGAAAATTGACGACATTGAGACCAGCTGGGCTCTGGGGGCCATTTTTCACTACATGGACTCCCTGAGCCGACCCAAGGGCCCTGCCAATGAATAGCAGCCCAGCTCCTGGCTGTGAGCCACCCCACCCTGCCTGTCAGCACTCAGATTCACATGAACATCCTCACATAAGCGGCTGCTGTCTCCGTGAGAGCAGGACACCTTTGTGGAACCCCACCCCAGGCTCGACCCCTGATTACTGCGACTTCGTCCTTGGTTTTATCCTAGGCACATTGGATGAGGGGCTGTGGTGAGGCTGCTACCAGCCCCCCTCCCCCAAGACCTGAGGGTCAGAGAGCAGAGGGTGGGGTAGAGGGCACCCAGGCCCAGCGCCTGGCTCTGCTGCGTTGGCTTCAGGTGAGCAGTGGAGACAGCCGTGGGCATGCGCGAGGCCAGCGAGCTGCAGCCCTAGCCTGGAGAGGTGGTGGGCAGCCACACGCCACCCTCTGTTACCTTGCCGCCTGTCTGGCTTCCTACCCCAGAGCAGACCTCCACTTTCTGAGTGGGGAGGGAATTTGGTGGGGAGGTTGTGTAGGCCTAAAAGTAGTGAGCCCTTGAGCTTTCCACTGTGAATCTCTTCCTTGGTTGTGAACAGGGAAATTATCCAGAGGTCTGGCTGCGTTTCGTGGCATTAACTGAGTACCTGCCACTCTGAATCAAAGAGGGAGGAGCTGAGGTGGAGAGGCCTTCCTCGCCCTGTGTGCCCAGCTCTCATGCAAGGTGGTGCTGAGTCAGTGTTGGGAAACCTGGTGAGTTAGTGCTGCTCCGCCCCCAGGCACCTGTGAGCCATGTGTGCAGCCAGGCCAGGCAGGGTCAGGAGCCCTGGGGCCCAGGCCTTGTCTGCCCTCTGCACTGGCCCATGCTCCTCACCCGCTTGGCCTGTCACAGGGAAGCTTCATCTCATCCCAAGTTGTGCTTAACCATGACTCACTTCCACGCTCATATCATCAAGTAGTGAACGTACAGTACGTGGAATAAACGGCGCCATGTGTGTTCCACCCCAAATAAAAGGTTTACAAGAATTTCTCTTGCAAGGCCTCACGGGCACTGCCAGGGACTCACAAGCACCTGAGCCTGTTTATGAAAGCTAGGGGGAAAATGCCCAGTGGGGTGCAGGGATCATGGTGTGTCTAAGTGCTGTCAGGGCACCTCATGAGATGACCAGAGGCTACGGGGCCTGGGCTGTGGCGGGGAGCCCAGGCAGGTAGAGATGCACACAAGACCTCACCCGGCAGGGGCCACCCCAGGGCTCTGGGTCAGTCATCTCCTGCGGCTTGGTTTTCTCTAGCCAGAAAAGCCTAAGGAATCTGGAACAGCCCAGAGAGGGACATGTGCCAGGAGGGAGCTGCGGGCCCACCCCTGCATCTCGAGTTCTCTGTGCAGCACCCACAGCCTAGCTCGGGACCTCGACTAAGGGGTACACCGCCTGTCCGTTCACCTCCCAGGGTCACTGTGGGACCAGGTAAGCAGGAAGAGGGTCCTGTGGAAAAGAGGAAATGGCTCTGCAGGAAAAAGTAAGAAAATGATGTTACTCCCCACCTCCCGGAGTCTTCACTTTACGATAGGTGGAGCAGGAAAAGAATACAGACAGAAAACCTTTCTGGTATTTGAGCAGCTCTATGCCTGCAGGACAATGGTGAAACGGGGGCTTCTGCCCTAGAATGTGGTTGTTGCCACCCCAACTCCAGAAGATGGAGAAGACTCCCTAGGACCACCAAACAAAACCAGGAGCCAGCTGTCCTCTGCCTGGTGGGGGTGTGGGGGATGCTAGAGGACTGTGGGGACACAGACAGGCACTGGCAAGCCCCAGGTGCTTTCCCCAGGTAACCAGAGAGTCAAATGAGGACCAGGGCACAAACAAAAGCTGTCTTCCCCACCCACGGTCAACCACCCCTGCCTTGACAGGTCTCCCCTCCAGCCCCTCCTTCCATAATACCCAGCAGATTAAATATTTAAAGAACTTAGGAGGCACGGAAATAAAAGATGCATTAAGGTAAAAGCGAACATTGATTTGATCCATTTAAAGGAAGTTAGTGATCTCACATTTGAAAAAAGAAAGCGTAAACAATTGGAAGTTTCCCAGGAGATCACCAAATAAGTCATGGAATATTTTTGGGCCCAGCAAAATATGCAGGTCATTTCGCTCTGTGATAATAAAAGTGGGCTCTCATCTTTTAAAAATAGCTGTTCATGCACCTCGTGGGAGTTGTCAAAGATGCAGACTGGGGATGCAACAAGAATGTGCCCAGAGGCCACAGGCATCTGTGCTCCGGAGAGTCCTTTTGCTTCCTGATGAGTGCGGCCCCTCTGCGCATCAGCCCGCTGCTCACACACCTGGCACCTCTGTTTTCACTTAGGGTAGCAGTGCAGAAACCCCTGTCTACACAGAGCTGCTTCCACCCATAATGGCCTGAGGTGTCCCCATATCTGAAGGATGGGACCTTAATCTCATGGGCTCGTGGCACAGAGTGGTGTCCATTCTCATTTGTGCACCTGCACCATCCCAACCCTAAGGGGCATGAGCATTTTACATTTTGATTGATGTTCCCTTCAGAGAGGCGCCACTGTACAGTTCTACAGCGAGCCTCAGTGCCAGCACACCCATGGCCAAACCTTTTGATCTTTGCCATCCTGGCTAGTAAAGAAAAAAAAACGATAACTGGTAGTTTTAATATGCATTGATCTAATTCTTCTTATATGCTTAAGAGCCCTGTGTATTTCCTTTTCTGTGATATATCTGTTGATGCTCCATGCCAGTTTTTCTATAAGATTGTGGGCATGTTCTTACTGATTTTAGGAGCTGGTTATATATAGAAAAGGAGCCCTGGCGGCACAGTGGTTGAAGCACTTGGCTGCTAACAGAAAGGTCAACAGTTGGAACCCATCAGCCATTCCACGGTGGAGAGATGTGGCAGTCTGCTTACGTAAAGATTACAGCCTTGGGAACCCTATGGGGCAGTCCTACTCTGTCCTATAGGGTTGCTATCGTCAAAATCCACTCAACAGCAACAGATTTGTTTTTTTGGCTTTTCTGTATAAAGGAAATTAACCCATTGTGGTATAATATGTTGTATATATTTTCCCCATCTCTCTTTTTTTTTTTTTTTACTTTTTATGGTGTTTATGGTGTTTATTTCAGTGCACAATTTTGGTATATGTGTGTTTAGTTTTTTAATGTGTTTAAATTGATCAAATTTAAGTTTTTTTAATATAAATTTATCGTATGACTTCTGGGTTTTGTGTCATGATTAGAAAGGCTTCCCCACTGAGATCATTTTAAAAGTTAAAGAAATAGTGTTTTCATGGTTTTAGTTTTTATATTACTTAAAGAGCTTCCACCCCATGCTTTTGAATACCCTCAGGGGCAGCAAATCATTGTTTCAGGATGGACTTCAGTTTTAGAACCATTCGGAGGTCATTGAAAAGCAAGTGTGGTGTTCAAACTGGGTGGTACCATCTTTGGTTAAAATTAAGGGTGACTGAAGGAGGAGCCCTGGTGGCACAGTGGTTAAGCGTTTGGCTGCTAACCAAAAGGTCAGAAGCTCTATGGGGCAGTTCTCTCAGTCCTATATGGTAGCTATGAGTTGGAATCAACGGCAGGGGGTTATATATATATTGTATATATATAATAATGTAATGAGGCAATTCCAAAAAGGAACTTCCAGAAGGCTATGGAATCACAGCAGTGTCAGTAATATAAACTCAGAACACCATTAATAGATTGCTATGCAGGTTTAATAGACAATTTTAAAGTCGGGCAGCACATCATTTACCCAACAGATGAGTGCTCTGATTAATAAGGATTCTTAAAGTGCTTTATATACGAAGTTATCAAGAGCTTTTGAACAAAAATTCTGATTGGTTAACATTTACGTAGCTTTGCTAAACAGCTACAAGACAATCACAAGTTCAGTGAATCTTGGTTACAAGACCCCTAAAGTTTTGAAACAGGATATGTTCATTAGTTTTGAAAACAGAATGTTTATTAATTTTTATTGTTTTCTGAGTTTTAAGTGAAAGTTAATAATGAAACCAGGCTATATGGTTTCAGTGGGCCTAGTTACCTAGCTACTTTTAAAGATTAGTTTATAGCATATCTAAAAGCTTATTTGTTATAGTGCATAGATTTTTAACAACACCTAACAAGATGATCTTTAGTGTCATGGGTAAGAATTCTTTTCACAATGCAAAACTTGTAATTTTTTCACAACTTCCCCCTTTTAATCACGATTCGATTAGAATCTTTCATCAGCTAAGTGTTGGCTGGGCACCATCTAGGTTTTTTGGATCTCGGTAATCATAAATACTTGCTATGACACACACACACTATCTCCATTGGTTCCTTGGCTTCTGCCTTTCGTTGTTGTTCCATTTGGAAAGAGACCATTTGCTGTATCTTAGATGGCTGCTCTCAAGCTTTTAAGACCCCAGTCACCAAACAACTTAGCAATCTTAAAAGGATATAATACCAGGAAGATGCATTAGCCAATAGTTTGAAAGACTTGTCTAACCCAAGAACCTAAAGTTCCTAGCCAAGAAAACAAATCCCCAGAAGCACCAGGGAGGATCTTGGCAACATTAGATGCTTCTCTGGTTTGCACTCTAGCCATTACTATATCTTGGTACTCTTTAGTTTGGGTGTCATTAATATACGTGCAACATTTTTCTCTTACTAAAGCACACAGTCCTCCTTGGGAAGTGTCTTAGTCATCTAGTGCTGCTGTAACAGAAGTATCACAAGTGGATGGCTTTAACAAACAAGACGTTTATTCTTTCTCAGTCTCGTAGGCTAGAAGTCCAAATTCAGGGTGTCAGTTCCAGGGGAAGGCTTTCTCTGTTGGCTCTGGATGAAGGTCCTTGTCATCAGTCTTCCCCTGGACTAGGAGCTTCTCCACGCAGGAATTCCAGGTCCAAAGGACGTGCTCTGCTCCCAGCGTTGCTTTCTTGGTGGTATGAGGTCCCCCTGTCTCTCTGCTCACTTCTCTCTTTTATATCTCAAAAGAAATTGCCTCAAGGCACAGTCCAATCTTGTAGTTTGAGTCCTGCCTCACTAACACAACTGCCGCCTATCCTACCTCATTAACATCACAGAGGTAGGATTTACAACACAGGAAAATTACATCCGATGACAAAATAATGGACAATCACACAGTACTGGGAATCATGGCCTAGCCAAATTGATACACATATTTTTGGGGGACACAATTCAATCCATGACAGGAAGCAAGCAAATAATCAAGAGTTAACCTGTTTTGTAAAGTCATTATTCTTTTTTTAGTTACTTCAGTGGACAAAGAACATATGGCATTACTCAGAATATCAAGTTTGAAGGCAACCTTGCCTAACGATTGTAATAATTGGTTTTTTTTTTTTTTTTTTTTGGTCCAACACAAGCAAATCCTATTCCAGTGATTCCAGGAATTATGGCCACCATGGAACAATCAATTAAAGTTCTTTTAGTAAGGGGTCCTTCCTTTGATAGCTGTTCAGTCAGATGTTTGATGATTTCTTCTCAATCCTTTACAGAGGTTGTGGCTCTTGCATTTCTAATTTCTCAAGAAGGTAGTTTAGAGTGGAAGGAAACTTGAGGTACCCCATAAGCCAAATGCAAGTTCCAATCTAATCGGGTGGCAGCATTTTGTAGACACAATGCCACACACAAAATAATGTCCTTTAAGGCCATGTGAGGGAAGTTTCCTCAAGGTCCTGCCAAGGCTAAAGTGGAGTAAATACTAAAAGGAAGCACATAACAATTACCTATATCAGTGATGGGTTCACATATGCAAGATACATTTAGCACTTTTCACCAGTAATGGGAAGAAAAGAGGAGTAAGTGAACAGTTTATTTCAAAGAATTGAAAGATACTTAATCTTTAAATTGGCTGCTTACCAAAATGTCGGCACTTCAAATCCGCCAGCCACTCCTTGGAAAACATGTGGGGTAGTTCTACTCTGTTCTTTAGGGTTGCTATGAGTCCAAATAGACTTGACGGCAACAAGTTTAATCTTTAAAAGGAAACTGACCTGGACAAAAGTATTTTGATCTGAAAATAATAATTATCTCTATAAATGTAATTAGAGCATGTACTGATACTTAGAAATTGATAGTGTTAAGTTTTGAGAAAAACACTATTTTCCTTTAGTTTCTAAGCTGTGAATGCAAGGGTCAATGCCTTTTAATTTTGCAGCGGTGTGAGTGGTCAGGCGAACTTGATAAGGTCCCTTTCATCATTGCTCAAGGGCTGTTTTTGTATTAGCTAATGAGTTCTAATTGATGTTACGTGGAGTCAGGTGCTTGGTGTGCTTTTTTCTTGGCCGAGGTCACTGCTCAGTCAGGTACTCTGGTTCTTTTCCAAAGTCCTTTGTGGGCGAGATTCCCCTTGTATTGTTTGTGGCCCTCTTAATCCACCCCTTCCTGCCCAGCGCTTACACTGTCCTGTGCGTCCCTCTTCTGCGATTGTCCGTGAGCCTGTGTGGGAGAGGGTAATGTCAGTAGGGCCTTGTGTGTCAGTCTTCTAAAACATCGTAAGCAAAACCCACACCAACAATAAAACAAGTAATAAAATATCCTTTCAGTTATTATATATAATAATCAAACAGTAATTTCTTCCACCAGGTTCTCCATCCAGAGAAACATCCTGTGACCTCAGCCTACCAAGTACCATCTCTACATGTTCAATTCTATTTAATTATGTCTGTAAATGTATGAGGGAGTGATTCACTAAAGCTTCATTATCAGGAATATATACACAACGTTCAACTTTTAGTAAAGCACAGATACCTCCTTGAGCAGTATTAGTCATGTCCAAAGCCACCCAATTTTGTAACACCACCTTTCTTATGGCTGCAGTTTCTTCATTTAAGGCAGCCAGTCCATGTTTGGTGGTGCTCAAGGTTGAGGAGACAAAATTTTGTAAAATTTCCATCTTAGTCCTGTTAACATTTCCAATACTAGGGGTGAATGCCTTTTAGTATAAGTCATGAGTGATTTACAGTACTTGACCATATCTTAGTGACCAATAGATATGAGATGTGGATAAAAGAGAGAGTTTATAAGCTGTAAATCTGTTGGCCAAAAAAAAAAAAAGAAAGTGACTTACTTTGAACAGAGTTTCTATGGCATGAGGCACATACAGAGTGATAGGATTTTGTAACACTATGTCTGAGGATGTTTTTACAAACTTTGCTGTTGCAGCCACGGCTTTTAAGCACCCAAGCAAGGCCTTGGCTAAAGGATCCAGTCGCAAACTATAGTAGGCTACAGGTGTCTCTGTTTGTTTCCATATTCTTAACACCCTCAGGGCTTGACCTTCTTGTTCGTGAACGTATGTAAAAAGGCTTGTCTTTGTCCACTTAGTTCATGCCCTAGCTATCAAATTTGGGACAGACAAAACTGCAGTTTATCCTTGGAGACCTTTTGACCCTTCTCAGCTAATTGTTGCAAAAGGTATAATGAATCAGCTTGACTGTCTTTGAGACTCTCAGAGCATAAAAAAAAAATCTATATATTGAACAAAAGACATCCTCAGGAATTTTGGATAAAGTTTTGCCTTTTAGGCAGATTACATAAGAGATAAAGTTAACCTTTATCATCTTTTATTAAGAACAACCCATTAATTAAAGAGACTTTTGTCATTTTACCAGGAAAAAAAAAGCATTTTAAGTTCTGTATACTATTTGACACTAAAACTCTTTAAAAATCTAATAAATGAATCTATCAAGTCTTAGTTTTAAGAAATAACATTCGTATAGTGCAACTTTTTAAAGTGGCAAAAGAAAAAATGGACACATTAGCAGATTCAAATATACATATATCCTCTCTGTGGCATATATAAAAATAAAAGCATAAGTACATAACCTTAAATTATAGTGAAAATATATTGATTAACTCAATTTAGTATCAATCC